GCCTGTGGCACTATCCGGAAGAGTTGCACAGGTTTCCCAAAGGCTCTAGCAGAAAACGTTTTTAAAAGGGGGGGAACAGCAGCTCTCTGCCAGAATGAACTGTTGGCCCTAAAGTACCATGATAAAAAGGAGGTGTTCATCCTAACCACCATCCATGGTGAACACACTGGCAAGGTCGCAGTTCGTAGCAGAGAGGAAATGAAATGGGTGCCAGTCTGATAAAAACAGTACAATCGGCATATGGGGGGAGTTGACCTGTCCGATCAACTGATGCAGCCGTATTTGATCATGCGAAAGACCAGGGCATGGTACAAAAAAGTGGGCATTTATATAATGCAGACGGCAATCCACAATGTGGAAGAAGAATTGAGGCAGGTCACTTCTGCTTCAGGATTCTATCAATCCCCCAAAAGAAAACCCCCCAGAAAAGGTGCAGGGTGTTTTACAAGAGGGGCGTAAGAGGTGAGACCAGTTATTACTGCCCTGATTGCCCCTCTCAGCCTGGCCTATATATTGGCCACTATTTTAAAATTTTCCACACCCAGGTCAAATAAGAAGACCGATTTTGGGGTGTGATTTTAGTCTTGTGGGGGATCAATATGTATATAGTTTATATATTTTTAGTTATTATAATTTTAAGATACTAAGAAAGTTCAGGCCAAGGAGGCTTCTAAAATTCTGACCACTGATTGACTATTTTATTATTTTTATTTGGGTGATTTAGTTAATGGGGGAGGGGGGTGGATGGTGTTAGTTAGTGGGAAGTTGGGGGGTTTAGTGTTTAGTTAAGTTAGGGGTTATAAAAAATGTTAATAAAAAAAAAAAGAGAGAAACAAATAGTTTAGAACATTATTTAACGTTCTTGTGTAAAAAGTTCAAAATTCTTAGGAAGTTCAGTGCCGAGGAGGCATTCAGAATTCTGATAGTGGACTCAGAAGTGTCAGGCAGAGTTTGAGGCAGGTGAAAGTGGCGATAAATTTTTGCCCGAATGCAGCAGAACTACATAATTCCCCCAATTAACTGGGTACTACCCCCTGATAAGTTCACGCCAAATATTCCCCCTTTCACAACAAATAGTATGCACTTCTTCATAATTTGAATTTATGAGCTGCTTATATTTAAAAATAGATGTGGCCTTTGAGAAATAATTTGCAATCATGAGCTGCTAAAATTAGATTTAGGCTCAGCACCTGCTTTTGAAAAATATGAAATGGGTGTATCTCAAACTTTCCCTTTCAACATCCATATACACCCTGGGATATCTACTTTTAAAAAATGGTAGGCTTTTGTAGGGTAGTTTGAGCTAGCAACTTGCTAAAATGCTCCAAAATAGGACGTGGGACCCAGCATCAAAATTCAAAGTTTGAAATGAAATGAAATGGCTGTGTCATAAGATTGCAAATTATGCAGTAAAATCTCAACGTGTGTGTCAAAAAGGTAGAGAAAATGCTTACTACTACTTGACTTGGTACTAACTAGGAAAAAAATTATCCCACCCTAAGGTTCAAAATGGGCCTTTTGAAATACCATGGGAAGTTTGAATAAGCAACCTGCTATTAGACCCCAAAATGAGACAGAAACCGTAAAACTGTAAAAACGTAAAAAGTAAGGTCTCCTATATGGCACTGTAGCTTCACGAAATACTGCCAAAGGCATACATTGGGGGTATTGTTTTACTCAGAAGAGTTAGCTGAGTTTAATTTGGGGTGTTTGATCATGGTGGAACATATCAAATATGATATGAATGAAAAAGTTGGAATGAACATTAAAACATAACTTTTAATAGGTATACTAAAAGTAGAAATATGAAAAAAAAATAGTAAAAACCAAAAGCACAAGGCTAAATCTATGTCCTGTAGTCTAGCTTGAGCTGACACGGAACCCACGGAACCCTCGAATAGCAGATATAGCAGAGAGAGTATCAGTGAGAAAAGATACTTAGTAAATCAGAGTGTAACAATTGCTACAAAATGTGTAGCAAGAATGACAGAGGGGAGCTCAGAGTGCATCTATTCTCTAGACTCTCCTGCAGTAAAGAGTCTACGCGATATGGGAGAAATGCCTCTTATGCTCCAATTATCAAATTACTAAACAGCACACCTGTGTGGTTAGAGAAATAAGACAATAATTGTCAAAAAAATTATAATAAGGTGCCTGTGACACAGGAGGGTTTAGAAACAGTGAACCGCTAAGAGTTGTGTATAACAATCAATTAAATAAAAGTATATAGAATATATACGGTATATATATATATAGAGCACCGTACTTATGGAATAACCTCAAGGACACAGTCAAATCTTCATTCAATCTAAAATCTTTTAAGAGATCTATGGCAATATACCTCAGCACAAAATGTACTTGTCATGGTTGAATATATTTATCACCTGTTATATGTTAAATTTATATATGTGTGTATAACAATCAATTAAATAAAAGTATATAGAATATAGCAGTCCTAGCGCTGGCTTATTAGTAAAGATCTGGTTGGTTAAAGTTAAACCAATCTTTTTGGTCGGAAACTCAGGGGCTCTGGATGCTTAGTCGGCTATACTTCTGTTGTTGTATCAACACAGCCGCAATCTTGCCAGCCAAATTGCTCTTTCATCTAGTCATCTTTTTTAGTCCTGTCTTCTACCTACTAGCTTGCTATGGGGGTGGGGGGGAGTTATAGAGGCAGTACAGGCATTTTATAAGAGGTACCCTCGAAGGCACTTAGATCTTTACTAATAAGCCAGTGCTAGGACTGCTATATTCTATATACTTTTATTTAATTGATTGTTATACACACATATATAAATTTAACATATAACAGGTGATAAATATATTCAACCATGACAAGTGCATTTTGTGCTGAGGTATATTGCCATAGATCTCTTAAAAGATTTTAGATTGAATGAAGATTTGACTGTGTCCTTGAGGTTATTCCATAAGTACGGTGCTCTGTAGGAAAAGGAGGATCGAGACACTTTATTTTTGGATTGTGGTATGCTAAATATCGTGCTAGTACTGAATCGGAGGTTATAGGAGGTGGGAACAGCTGGGGAGAGCATTCTACTCAGGTAGGGTGGGAGCTTCCCAGAAATGCTCTTAGGCACAAGGCTGGAAAGATGAAAAGTGCGTTGGGATTCCAGTGACAGCCAGTTTAGCTCTTTTAACATGTCACAGTGGTGGGTAAAGTAATCACATTCTAGTACAAAGCGGCAGAACAAATAATATGGCGTATTAAATTTATTAAGGTGGGTTTGCGGTGCGGGTGCATACACTATATCCCCATAATCAATGACTGATTAGCATTTGTTGCACTATCTGTTTCATTACTGTAGGGCTTAGGCAGGATTTGTTTCTGTACAGGATTTGTTTCATAGCAAAATATTAGAGTGATTTATTAGAGGGACAGGTTCTAACCACCTGTCATTACACTTGTTGGTTATAGTCTAAATCAGTGATTCCCAACCCAGTTCACAAGTACCCCTAATAGTCCAGGATTAAGGGATTGCCCAGTTGTGTCTAAGGTGATTTTAGAGAAAAACAAAAACAAAAACACTTTAGGCACAACAGGGCAGGGGCGGATCCAGGTGGGGCAACGGGGCAATTGCCCCTCCCCCCGGGATTCTCCCCTGCTGGCTAAAGCAGGGCTGGCATGGGGAGGGAGGGAGAGAGCACGGTTACCACGGCAACGCACCAAATCTCGCGAGAGTAAACTCTAGTCCTGGAGCGCGGGCTAGAGTTCACCTCACCACCACTGGGACCACCAGGGATCCAGAAATGTCCCCCCTTCTCCCAGTAAAGGTAAGAAGGGAGAGGGGACATAAAGAATATTTGTTTAAATTAAATTTAAAAATACCATATAAGAAGGGTTATAATATGTGTTGGCTTTTTTAAAATTTAATTATGTATGTATGTATGTATGGGGACAGTGTATGTGTGTGTGTGGGGGGGAGCAATGTGTGTGATACGAAGGGTAGGGGGCTTTTTTTTTAATCACACACACACACATTGTTCCCCCGCCCCCCCCCCACACACACACTGCCCCCATACACACACACACACTGCCCCCATACACACACACACACTGCCCCCCATACACACACACACACATCCCCTCAGTACAGCACTACGGAATCTGATGGCACTTTATAAATAATAAAATAATACACACACACTGCTCCCCATACACACATTGCCCTACACATACACTGCCCCCCCACACTCACACATACACTGCAAATGTCACACACAAATACTGACCCACACATACACTGCACCCCTGATATATACTGCCGCCCTCACTCACACACTGCTCACACACTATCCCCCTCACACACACACACACTGCACCCCTTGCACATTGCACCACTCACACACACCACTGCTCCTATGCCCTACTTCAGCCCCATTTCCCAGCAGATCTCAGGTAAGTTGTCAAACTGTTCTTAAACAGTTTGACTACTTACTCTGGGAGAGGGTCCCGGCACTATTGACACCATAACCACTACACTGAGCTGTAGTGGTTATTGTGTCTGGATTAGTTCTTTAAATAATCTACAAGTGCCCCTCCCGAGATCAGGCTCTGGATCCGCCACTGCAACAGGATAATCCCTAAATACTGGACTGGTAGAGGGTACTTGAGAACTGGGTTAGGAACCCCTGGTCTAAATTATAATACTTTTTGAAATTGCACATTTCCAAAGTAGAGATGTCCAAACATGACAGGCAGCAATACTGAGTTGAGTAAAGACAGAATGATTAAGAGATATGAAGAAACAAATGTGATATGCAAGATTAATTAATCAAGGTAATTTGCATAAAGTTGTGACGTCCCTTGGTAATTTTCTGCATACAATGCGTAGAGTCATTAGCATATATATATATATGTAATAGCAATATGCAAATAAACCAATTGAGGATGTTTCCATTTTACAATAGGTTACAATGAAGTTCTGTTTCAATTTCAAGTCAAATGTTTTATTTACGCCTTCATAACAGCGTCTTCAGTGGAGCCAGGTCATACTTTGTACGTTCAGGAGATGTAAAAGCACATATGGAAAAAGTTTTATTTAAATGGATTCACAACAACCACTTGAAGCAATGGTCATGGGACTTAGAAGAGACAGACAGAAAAAGAGTTCAGCAGGAAAGGTAGTGGGTGTAAGCATTTTAGGGTTGATTGTATTAATGGGGGGTTGTATTTAGGGTTGGTTGTATTAATGGGCTTTGTATTTAGGGTTGGTTGTATTAATGGGGGGTTGTATTTAGGGTTAGTTGTATTAATGGGCTTTGTATTTAGGGTTGGTTGTATTAATGGACTTTGTATTTAGGGTTTGTTGTATTATTGGGGGATTGTATTTAGGGTTGGTAGTATTAATGGGGGATTGTATTTAGGGTTGGTTGTATTAATGGGCTTTGTATTTAGGGTTGGTAGTATTAATGGGGGTTGTATTTAGGGTTGGTTGTATTAATGGGCTTTGTATTTAGGGTTGGTTGTATTAATGGGGGATTGTATTTAGGGTTGGTTGTATTAATGGGCTTTGTATTTAGGGTTGGTTGTATTAATGGGGGTTGTAGTTAGGGTTGGTTGTATTAATGGGGGTTGTATTTAGGGTTAGTTGTATTAATGGGCTTTGTATTTAGGGTTAGTTGTATTAATGGGCTTTGTATTTAGGGTTGGTTGTATTAATGGGGGATTGTATTTAGAATTGGTAGTATTAATGGGGGATTGTATTTAGGGTTAGTTGTATTAATGGGCTTTGTATTTAGGGTTGGTTGTATTAATGGGCTTTGTATTTAAGGTTGGTTGTATTAATGGGGGTTGTATTTAGGGTTGGTTGTATTAATGGGGTTTCATTTAGGGTTGGTTGTATTAATGGGGGGTTGTATTTAGGGTTGGTAGTATTAATGGGGGGTTGTATTTAGGGTTGGTAGTATTAATGGGGGATTGTATTTAGGGTTGGTTGTATTAATTGGGTTTCATTTAGGGTTGGTTGTATTAATGGGGGGTTGTATTAATGGGCTTTGTATTTAGGGTTGGTAGTATTAATGGGGGTTGTATTTAGGGTTGGTTGTATTAATGGGGTTTCATTTAGGGTTGGTTGTATTAATGGGGGGTTGTAGTTAGGGTTGGTTGTATTAATGTGCTTTGTATTTAGGGTTGGTTGTATTAATGGGGTTTCATTTAGGGTTGGTTGTATTAATGTGGTTTCATTTAGGGTTGGTTGTATTAATGTGGTTTCATTTAGGGTTGGTTGTATTAATGGGGTTTCATTTAGGGTTGGTTGTATTAATGGGGGGTTGTATTTAGGGTTGGTTGTATTAATGGGCTTTGTATTTAGGGTTGGTTGTATTAATGTGGTTTCATTTAGGGTTGGTTGTATTAATGTGCTTTGTATTTAGGGTTGGTTGTATTAATGGGGGGTTGTATTTAGTGTTGGTAGTATTAATGGGGGTTGTATTTAGGGTTGGTTGTATTAATGGGGGGTTGTATTTAGGGTTGGTTGTATTAATGGGGTTTCATTTAGGGTTGGTTGTATTAATGGGCTTTGTATTTAGGGTTGGTTGTATTTAGGGTTGGTTGTATTAATGGGGTTTCATTTAGGGTTGGTTGTATTAATGTGCTTTGTATTTAGGGTTGGTTGTATTAATGGGGGGTTGTATTTAGGGTTGGTTGTATTTATGGGCTTTGTATTTAGGGTTGGTTGTATTAATGGGGGGGTTGTATTTAGGGTTGGTTGTATTAATGTGCTTTGTATTTAGGGTTGGTTGTATTAATGGGCTTTGTATTTAGGGTTGGTTGTATTAATGGACTTTGTATTTAGGGTTTGTTGTATTATTGGGGGATTGTATTTAGGGTTGGTAGTATTAATGGGGGATTGTATTTAGGGTTGGTTGTATTAATGGGCTTTGTATTTAGGGTTGGTAGTATTAATGGGGGTTGTATTTAGGGTTGGTTGTATTAATGGGCTTTGTATTTAGGGTTGGTTGTATTAATGGGGGATTGTATTTAGGGTTGGTTGTATTAATGGGCTTTGTATTTAGGGTTGGTTGTATTAATGGGGGTTGTAGTTAGGGTTGGTTGTATTAATGGGGGTTGTATTTAGGGTTAGTTGTATTAATGGGCTTTGTATATAGGGTTAGTTGTATTTAGGGTTGGTTGTATTAATGGGGGATTGTATTTAGAATTGGTAGTATTAATGGGGGATTGTATTTAGGGTTAGTTGTATTAATGGGCTTTGTATTTAGGGTTGGTTGTATTAATGGGCTTTGTATTTAAGGTTGGTTGTATTAATGGGGGTTGTATTTAGGGTTGGTTGTATTAATGGGGTTTCATTTAGGGTTGGTTGTATTAATGGGGGGTTGTATTTAGGGTTGGTAGTATTAATGGGGGGTTGTATTTAGGGTTGGTAGTATTAATGGGGGATTGTATTTAGGGTTGGTTGTATTAATTGGGTTTCATTTAGGGTTGGTTGTATTAATGGGGGGTTGTATTAATGGGCTTTGTATTTAGGGTTGGTAGTATTAATGGGGGTTGTATTTAGGGTTGGTTGTATTAATGGGGTTTCATTTAGGGTTGGTTGTATTAATGGGGGGTTGTAGTTAGGGTTGGTTGTATTAATGTGCTTTGTATTTAGGGTTGGTTGTATTAATGGGGTTTCATTTAGGGTTGGTTGTATTAATGTGGTTTCATTTAGGGTTGGTTGTATTAATGTGGTTTCATTTAGGGTTGGTTGTATTAATGGGGTTTCATTTAGGGTTGGTTGTATTAATGGGGGGTTGTATTTAGGGTTGGTTGTATTAATGGGCTTTGTATTTAGGGTTGGTTGTATTAATGTGGTTTCATTTAGGGTTGGTTGTATTAATGTGCTTTGTATTTAGGGTTGGTTGTATTAATGGGGGGTTGTATTTAGTGTTGGTAGTATTAATGGGGGTTGTATTTAGGGTTGGTTGTTTTAATGGGGGGTTGTATTTAGGGTTGGTTGTATTAATGGGGTTTCATTTAGGGTTGGTTGTATTAATGGGCTTTGTATTTAGGGTTGGTTGTATTTAGGGTTGGTTGTATTAATGGGGTTTCATTTAGGGTTGGTTGTATTAATGTGCTTTGTATTTAGGGTTGGTTGTATTAATGGGGGGTTGTATTTAGGGTTGGTTGTATTAATGGGCTTTGTATTTAGGGTTGGTTGTATTAATGGGGGGTTGTATTTAGGGTTAGTTGTATTAATGGGCTTTGTATTTAGGGTTAGTTGTATTAATGGGCTTTGTATTTAGGGTTGGTTGTATTAATGGGGGATTGTATTTAGAATTGGTAGTATTAATGGGGGATTGTATTTAGGGTTGGTTGTATTAATGGGCTTTGTATTTAGGGTTGGTAGTATTAATGGGGGTTGTATTTAGGGTTGGTTGTATTAATGGGGGATTGTATTTAGGGTTGGTTGTATTAATGAGCTTTGTATTTAGGGTTGGTTGTATTAATGGGGGTTGTATTTAGGGTTGGTTGTATTAATGTGGGTTGTATTTAGGGTTAGTTGTATTAATGGGCTTTGTATTTAGGGTTAGTTGTATTAATGGGCTTTGTATTTAGGGTTGGTTGTATTAATGGGGGATTGTATTTAGAATTGGTAGTATTAATGGGGGATTGTATTTAGGGTTATGTGAGGAACTGACTCTGCTGGGTTTCGAACCCTGGTTTACATGGTGCTAAACCTTTTCCTTACCAGTACACCAGCCTGCCTTTTGCAAATTTACCTGAGATCTGATACCATTGCTTGTAGAGTCAAGGTTATCAGTGACAACTCACTTCAGCTGTGTCTAGTCAGGTGTCTGGTTCTTGGCCTATAAAAGCCACTTCCTGTCTCTGTACCTTTGCCAGATTATTGTGGTTCCTGTACTCTCTAATCAAGCTTGTTCCTGTTTCTCCTTCCTGTTGCTGAATTTGGACTGTTTTGACTTTGCTGCTTCTCCTTCCCACTGACCTCGGCTTGCCTCACTACGATTATCATCTTTCTGTTCCAGTCTCCCATCTCTGCTTAAGACCAGAAGGCCACTCAAGGCTCAGGGGCTCAACCACCTGGGTAACGAGTGGCTACCTCTGGCAGAAAACATTGCTGATCTGGCTACTGGACTCCAAAACTTTGTAACATCAATATCATTACAGAATAATCTGGCCCATTCATGGAGACCGTCGGATCAGATTCTGCATTGGCCCAGCAGGTTGCTTTTAATGCAAGAACTATGCAGACCCAGGCACAGACCATTCAAGTGCTGCAGGATCAGGTAGCTGAACTGCAAAATGAAGTTCGATCAATGCATAGTGAGCTTACCAGCTACAGGGCACATGATGCTGCGGCTGCTGCTACTACTACTGTTACACCTGCACAAGATGCCCGCTTGCCTCTACCAGAAAAATTTGGAGGAGACCGCAAAAAATTCAGGGGTTTCCTAAATCAATGCCGTTTGCATTCCATGATGTTACCTAACCGTTTTCCATCTGAAAGAGAGAAAGTGGGATTTATTTTTTCCCTCTTCAAAGATGAAGCCCTGGCCTGGGGCTCCCCTTTTCTGGAACAGGACAGTCCAATCTTGGGAAACTTAAAAGACTTTCTTGAGGCCATGTGCCTAGTTTTTGATGATCCCAATCGCTGTGCTACAGCAGAAGCCACTCTCCTTCATTTACATCAAGGGAGGCGATCTGTGGCTGAATATGCTGCTGAATTCAGACAGTGGGTTACTGATACTACTTGGAACCAATCAGCCCAGAGGTTCCACTTCAGAAGGGGTCTCTCAGAAGCTATAAAAGATGAGCTAGCTCGTGTTGATCTTCCTGTTGAGTTTGATGCATTTGTGCGGTTGGCTATCCGTATTGATCGGAGACTTTCAGAAAGAAGATTGGAAAGACAGGGCTCTTTTAAACCAAGTGCTACTCCTACTTTCTATTCAAGAATTTCTACTCCGACCCCACAAACACCTACAGACTCTGAACCTGAGGCTATGCAGGTAGATCTAATAAGAGGGCCATTATCCAATGAAGAAAAACAGTGGCGACGCACTCACAACTTATGCCTGTATTGTGGTAGTGCAGGGCATTATGCCATCAAGTGCCCTAACAAGTCTAAAAGAACAATAGCTATGACTGCTGAGGGTGCACAGATTCAACACCAATCCCAGATTTCAGACCAACTGGATTCTGTCACACAACCCTTGTTTTCTCTGGCTCAGGGTGAAGAAGGTATGATGACTCAACATCCTCATTTGGTGGTGCCTATCACTTTGCAATATGGTAATAATAAAATTTCAACTACAGCTATGATAGATTCCGGAGCAGGCGGAAACTTTATGGACATTAAATTTGCAGCAGGAAATAAAATTCAGTCTATCCCTAAATCTTCACCTGTGTTAATGGAAACAGACGGTTCTCCACTTACGTCAGGCCCGGTTACACATGAGACTGTGCCCTTAAAATTGATTCTGGAAGTGAATCACCATGAGTCTATATCTTTCCACCTAATTTCCTCAACACAGTTTCCAGTGATTTTGGGTATACCCTGGCTTGCTCTGCATAACCCACAGATTGATTGGAAGACTAGAACTTTGTCCTTTCCTTCAGAACACTGCTTAATGAATTGTCAACCCTCTAAGGCGACACCTGTTACCACAACAATTAATGAAATGGTTGCTACAAACTTAACTAAGCTTCCGCTACAATATCGGGATTTTGCAGATGTCTGTGATAAGAAGAATGCTGATCAGCTTCCACCTCACAGGCCTTATGATTGCCCCATAGAGCTGCTACCTGGAGCTGCTATCCCATTTGGCCGTATATACTCCCTTTCTGAGCCTGAATTGAAAGCACTTCGTGAATACATACAAGAAAATCTTGCCAAAGGCTTTATTCGACCATCCACTTCTCCAGCAGGAGCTCCTATATTCTTTGTAGAAAAGAAAGATGGCAGTCTACGGCCATGTGTCGATTACAGGGACATTAATAAAATCACTGTTAAAAACCGTTATCCCCAACTCTCCTTCCCCACAAATGGCTAGCACTGGTTAATGCACTGACTGGTCACACTGCGTGCTACTCACACATAGAAGCTCACAGAAAGCTAATGTACCGATGGTATCTGACACCAGACAGGCTCAGCAAAATCTATCCGAACACCTCTGACCGATGTTGGAGGTGCCGAGCCCAAAGAGGCAAGATGCTCCACATATGGTGGGGATGTGACCTTATTCAGCCATTGTGGTTGGTGGTCGCAAGATTGCTTAGCAACGTAGATATTATTCTCCCGCTGGAGTTTGGGTCCTGCCTTTGGTTGGACCTTCCCCCCAGCTGGACGAAGCAGGAGAGGGGACTGGCCGCACAGATGATACTGGCGGCTAGGGCTCTCATAGCGCTCAATTGGAAATCAACCATTTGCCCGTCTGAAAAGAACCTCATGGACAAAATCCGACTAAATTATGTGTATGATATCTCTTCTGCGATAACTCCTAACCAAAAACATAAAATATCTAAAACCTGGGAACATTGGTGTCGCCACTATCAATTTCAGCCTCCATAAAACCATCATCCGGCCTGAGACCCGGATCATACACACACCTGTTACTAACGGTATTATATTTCTAAAAAAAAAAAAAAA